TTCGAATCATGGTAGCTGTACAATGCTTTTCTTCTTGTTAATAAAACTATGCAAAAAAGATGTTGAACATGAGTTGATGTCCACTGCAAATCTAATGGTAGTAGTGGAGTTAGGTCCAAGTAGTATCATTGTTGATTATTGGACGTAAAAACTGGATTCTGAAAGCAATAAATGGGCAACATGAGTGTCCCCAAGTCAGCACAACGTCATGAAGAGTCAGTTAGGAAGCACCTATAAGTGGTACACAGCTATAAAATTTATGTTAGGAAAGCATGAGGGAAAGTGCATTTACACCATTATATTCTCAATTCAGAAAGTAATTTAGACAGGACTATATGCAACTCCAAATATCATAAACAGAAATTAATGTGATAATAGCAGTTGAATTAACACTGCACAACAGTTCATGGACATTCCACCGACCAACTACAAAAAAGAAAACAAACCCCTTTCAAATCAACGAGGTGCCTTCTTCTTCCCAGCAATTGCAACCCTTTTGCCCTTCAAGGTCCTGCAATTGTTCTTTGTCCTCTGTCCTCTACACGGCAATCCTTGAATATGCCTCACCCCTCTGTAGCACTGTATTTCCTTCAGCCTCCTAATTGCGAGTGCATTGAACCCCTCTAAAAAACACACCCAACGACCCAAAATCCCAAATCACTTTTAAACAAAGAACTTAGCTTCAAATCAATATACATACATAGATATGTGTGTGAAAGCACATAATTTGCTAGACCACTCACTGCATGAGGCCTGGCAAAGACGGCAAAAATGACAAGTTAAGATATCAAAGGAATCCGACCATTGAACAGGTTTACCCACACCTAGCATGGATGAAAAAATGAACGATCTAGTTGGGCCTGGAATGTTCATTATTTCATCAGCAACTAAGAAGGTGGCACTTGTCCACCCTAGGATCAGAGCTAGAATTTCAGAAGCACATGCCTGTGGGTGGCATCAAAGAATGCGGGGTGCCCACCAGAGAAATACTATACGAGTAATCAACTATGAGGTCAAAAGACAATTTTCATGATTCATAGCCATGCGTCTGGACTAATAAGAATTAAAGAGTCTCAAGCACTGATTATGATGACCACTAAAAGGATGGCTTGAGCAAATATACGTGGTTGTAGCGATAATAGTTTCACAGAATAGCAAAGCCCGACTTTTAGGAAAATGTTAGACAACAGCCTCACAGAAGTTCCAAGGCACCAATCTTGAGTGTTTATTTGCACAAGATTGCAGCCTTCAACAGAAGGCCAACCTTCTCTAAATTACGGCTGTTAGCTGAAGCAATAACTGAAAAAGAGAGTCAACCATCGGTTCTTCTTTAAAATAAGATTCTTAGCCTTTAACAACCAATTTAGCTCAGCCAATTCAAGTATTCCTTGCATAAAAGACTAGCCACCCTACATACTTTAGCTTTCAATTGACCTTTCTTCAACCAATTGTTGTATATAAGGAAAATGCAAGAAACACCACCAGTGCCCTCCTAACCTCGTTTCTGTCTTGCAGAAGTTCAAGTATGATCTACGTCTTAGCTTTGTTTACTCGGTTTTGTTCTTGTGCACTAATCGGATTTTTCTTTGGCACTATATATATTTTAATCAGGACCCGGTTAGGAGACAAGTTAACTTAGTCTCCTCAAGGTTGTTTTAAAATAACCCATGAGTTGGGATTAGGGTAGGATTTGTATCATCCTTAAAATCTTATTCATATACAAAAGAGACATGGATACAGAAAATAAGTTAGAAATTGGTCACTCTCTCCCTCCAAAATATCTCTCTCTAGGAATCACTATCTTGAAGGATCCCTAAGATTCATGAGTGTGGTTGCGTAGGGGACTCTTATACTTTCCTGCGAATTGTCAAGCTAGTGGATCTGAAAAGCCCCCAAATAGCTAGGATTACAACAAGTCTGGTAAAACAAGTTTGTTCGATCTGGTTCTGCGAGTCAAGAGGTAGCCCTGTATACCCTCTCTTCCAACATATAATGTCACATATACAGGAAGAGGGGGAGTTTGTGTGTGTGTGAGTAAAATGGAAAATAAAAAAGGCAAATCCTAGAACCCAAAATATTCAGAGACGGAGGACAAACCAATTCACCCAAAATCCCAAAAATTCGAATTGCATTGAGCAGAGAAAATATCCAAAAATAGGGATAGCCTCAAATCAACTATCACAGAGCAAGTATCTAAAACACCTTTAACCCAAAACCCCAAATCATGTTTAGACAGAAAAAGTGACACAAATCACACAGAAACAGATATATATAGACAGAAAGAGAGGGGGGGGGGGGGGCAAGTGGGTGTTCTTACCAGGTCACCTTCGATCATGTACTTGGAGACTTCGTCACGGAGAGTGATGAGCTCGTCCTCCGACATATCCTTGGTGACTTTATTCTCCATGTTGAGGTCACATAGAATTTGCTTAGCTCTTGTTCGCCCTATTCCATGTATATACTGCAGAGAGTATTCGACCCTCTTGTTGTTGGGTATCTCCACACCTCCCACACGCGCGCATTTGATGCTTAATCCACCAATCTGCAAAAATTAAGTCACATCAACCCTGTATCGTTACTGAGACAACAAAAGAAAATGGAAAATCAAAAAATAGATGAAAACTTCTGCAATGATGTTACCATAGGAGGGATTGAAGTGGGAAAAGAGAGAGCATTGTGGTGAAATTTGGAGTTTGGGTTTCTGTTGCAGATGAGAGAGAGTGATGGTGCAATGGGCGTTGCAAGTGTTTGTGCCATTGTCTGAGAGAGACGGAGGACGAAGTTGAGAGGCAGTTAATTGCTTATCCTTCTAGTTCTAAGGTACCATACCACTGTATGTCCGGACTTGGCAGGGCAGATATGTATTAAGGCCCAACGAATGATGTGTGCTCCATGTTTAGCCCGTTAAATTGCGACCCGGTCAGATCTGTGACAGTTTGTGTACAAACTAGAAGCCCAATGTGTAAGAGTTATGGATCTTGATTTTGACTGATAGGCGCAATTAAGGCCTATGAAGACAACCTGCCTATAGATGCCTGGCCTGGCCCGACTCCAAAAAAAGATTGAAAATAATTAAAGAAAAAATGAAAATAAAAATAGCAAAAAAATAGTGAAAAATAAGTTCAATAGTGGCCAAATGGATGGGTTGCTAAAGATCCACTATGACTAAACCAATGGGCAAACCATAAACTCGTTAATTAATGGATGAGGGAGGGTCGCAAACTCCTCTTGATTTTTGCCTAAGGGCTGAGAAATGTATAGCTTATATTTTGTTACAGTTTTGTGTTTATTGCATCTTTGTCATATTGGGACCTTTTAAGGTGGTTTGCATGATCCCGAGTGTAACACAAAAATATATTAGATCTTTTTATTTAAAAAGAGGAAGTTCGTTACAAAATTAGATGCGAGTATGATTACAACTCGAAGAGAATGGATAATATATAATAAAGAATGTAGTTGAGAAGAAGAAACAACTTTCAGGTGAGGTGAGAAATCTAGGCGAAATAGCTGCAGCCAAACAATATGTATGATGCACTATCTGAGGCTCTTGTGCAATAGTTGAAACTGATTTGCTGCATAGGTTTTGAATATGCATGCTCCTTAGATATTTTGTCAGGGAATTTTAGATGCTACTCTAATCATTGAGATTTCAATGGAAACCCGAATCGGGCTGCTCTTCTTTGTCACCAAGGCAATCGGCATGTTCAAAATCACTCTTTATGATCTGACAATTGAATTTGAATACGTGACAGTCCATACATGTTAAAAAGAGTCGTTTGAAATAGCTCTATTATGACTGAGCAAATAAAAGTCCAATCGAACAAGACTGTTATTTAGTCAAGCAGATTTTTGACAGTGGGCCAAGTTATACTAAATAGAAGTCTGACTAAAAAATGAATCAGTTTATTTTTTTGCTTGATTGGTGGAAAACATTCCCAAGTAAGAAAGTGTGTACCGAGTAGGACCTCGTGAAGTATGCACGAAAACAGATACTATAAGATTAACATTTCAATAAAAATTTAAGGGTTTTAAGGTGCCAGATACCCTTTTTAAAAATTATAGGACAAAAAATATCACTTTTAAAAACATATGTCAAAAAGTATACAACCTCTAACAAATTTTTAAAATACCCCTTTCAGTAGAATGAGAACCGATTTCTATATTTTTGCCTCCACAACCGAAACTTAAGAGATCTCAATTGTTACAGATAAATCCCTTCAATATCGCCGGAAATCTCATTCTTCCAAAAACTTTCATAAAACCTCTTTTTTGAATTTTTAAAACTTCCTGTTGATCGTTGCTGAAGAAGTGAAACTCATTGTTCACAAGTAATAGGGTTTTTGATTGTTTTACCGTGACTAACTGGAAATCTCGTTGGAAGACATACATTCTTTCAATGTTTGGTAAGAAACCTTCCATAAAATCTCCTTTCTTTGCAAAACTGTATGTTGATCGCTGAATAGGATGTGAAAATCCTTTTGAATAAGTGATGGATTTTTTGATGGGTTCACTGTGAATAAAGGAAAATATCGGTATCAGATGGTGACGACCACACCGAAATTCACCGCTGAAGAAGAAGAACGTTGAAATTTTTGGAAAAGAAGTTGATAACTCAAGAACAATGTTGTTTCTCCCAATGTTTTTATTTTATCTATTTTTTTCTCCTCAATTACCTTTCTACTTCTGGTGCTTGGTACTACATGCACACCTAATGTTCGATCATTTGCCACAAAAAAAAAAACCAAAGAGGCCATATACAGGGATGTCAGTGGACCGAAGCGAAGGCAGGGAGTGTAGTCTCTATCCCTGTACCCGCTTAAAAAACTACGTCCATCCTTAATCCACCCTCGTTAACAAGTATAGTTTTCATCCCTGTCTCCGTCCACAGGTAAATTTTTAATCTCCATCCCTGTCCCCACTTTCCCGTACCTGCCCAAACCCAAGACCATGCCTAAGCCCAGTGGAGCATCATTGATCAATGTATGCATATCAAACTAGAAAGAAAAAAATTACACCAGCAAGGCAAGGAAAATCACATTTATGCTTTTGTAACAAAAGTTATGTAGATGAGTATTACAGAGATGAGGATGTTAACACAAATTTAAATTTAAAAAACAAAATCCAGCCATAGAACTTTCATCAATCAAGAAACTAAGGCCCAACCCAATAAAATAACAAATATCCAAAATAACATATTTGTAGCAATTAAATTCCATTTTCTTCTCTTGTAATTTCTTAGCAAATCAAACAGAGTTCATTACAAGAAAAACATAAAATACAATGGGCATTGGTGGGAAAATACAATCCTCAGTTTTTTTGCGCCAAAAGGGGAAGGGAATGAGGGAATACAAATTGACTTGGATTCTCACAAACTTAGACTTCTAAATTCAACCTCCCAAAAACTGAAGTAAATTTAAACTAAATACATATACAAAAAACAACACTCAACCAACAAAGACAATCAAGCTTGCAAAGACCCACAAGACATGAGACCCATCTACATACACAGAAAACAAAACTCAACCAACAAAAAAACTCAAGCCCTCCAAGACCCACAAGACATGAAAACGACTTCGCTTTTTGGGTCCAACAAAAGACGAAGAAGAAGTTCAAACCTCAAAGGCACAGACATGGCACCTTAAGAGTTTTAGAGAGAGAAAGCAGGTAAGTGGAGCAATAGACTTGCATTGTTGTTTTTCTGTTTTGCTCTTTCGTGTTTGAAAATTGAAGGCGTAGAGAGAGAAAGTTTTAGAGAGAGAGCAATATGGAATGTAGTGGTGTGTGGACGTGTTGTATCTGATGGAGGGATAGGAGAGACGGGGAGAAGCGGGAAAGGGATGAGAGAGGCGGCTGATAGAGAAGACTTAGTAAGTTAGGTCTGGGATATATATATATATATATCGGGTATAGCGGGGGTGGGGCGGGGGTAAGGGTAAGTCCATCCCCGCCTTCATCCCCGTACGTGTTTATATGGGTATTCTCATATGCGTCCACCGTTTAATACATATAGTTCATCCCCGATCCAAACGAGGCGGATTTGGAAGAATACCCGTTTTTCTCCGGTTCATTGCCATCCCTAGTCATATACATTGTGTCATGCGTCATGTCAATGTATGCAGTATGACATTGATTTGCAGTAGTGTGACATTGGTTTGTAGTAGTGTGATATTTTCTAGTATCAGTGTGACATTATTTTGTAGTACTACGACATTATCGTGCGAGGCAGCAAATCATCCTCAAAATCAGAATCATCATCTTGATTATTACGATCATCCTCATTTAAGTCATCATCATTGACATTGATTTTCACATAAACATGATTGACGTTAAGAGACTATAACGATTTTTTAAAAAAAAAACATATGGACGACATACTTGATGCATGTCTTCCATTACAGCTAACTGGAATATGTTTGTAAACGCGGTTACGGAATGGAGTGAATGACAGAGGAAAATGTTTGAATGATAGAGGAATATGTATGGAATATTTGAATAAACGGTTGGTCAATCACATATGAATAGGTAATTTAAAATTCAAAAAGGATATAGTATAAAATTAGGAAACTAAATCCCAAGTATAACTGTTATATTTGTCTCCAATTAATAAAAGAAAAAGACAATTTAGTAAGAGAAAAAATTACAATTCAACAAAAGTGTACCTCGTCATCAAACATTTACATTGAAAGGTACTTATACACATATATTTTATATTGAGATACTTTTACACAAATAAATATGAAAAGATGTACCTTTTCACAATTTTCCCAAAATGTAATTACATCTTCTAGAAATATAACTCTATTTGAACATAATAGATAAATATATTATCCCTAGAGACCCGAGGCAATTAAAATGAATAAAACCTAGCATTGATATGGTGCTCATTGTAAACACGCAACATATAAAATCGGCAAGTAAAAACCAAAGTGGAATTAGATTGATATAAATTTGGCTAGGCACGGGGTGTGTCACATTATTTACTCTTTCCAGTATTCTAAGCCCGACTAGGTTAGGGATACAATCTCATAAATACTAGATGAGTTTAAGTCTTAAGATACTCACTTCTTTCGCTGTAATTTGTTTGTTTGATCTTGAGACCCTTATTGAATTAAGCATAAGAGTATATCCAGTCGGTCAACCTTCGATCCCTCACAGTTTACTCGTTGCAGAAAGAAAGTGCACATTATTCGTTTCTCTTAAAAACCGAGCATACAAAATTCACGTCACCATCAATATCAAGTTCGAGATATTTTCTTCGTATAAAAGTAATTATATTTATTCATTAGACGTTTTGATGTTTTTTGAATGGGACAATTCGGTTGAGTAGATGTGCATAATTAACGTCATAATCACAAATTTAAATAATATATGGTTGAATAGATTCTTGATCATCAATAAGAAAATGCTCCCGATCCCAAATTTAAAAATCATCATCGATGGTAAAATATATGCATCCATCATTTTGTTCTATGGAGGAAACCATTTAGTTAGGATACAACATATGACAGGCATACACTGGCCGTTGTAATATATTAACCCCACAATTAACTATAACCAACAAAGAACCATCAACGATTCATGCTAGGTCTAGTGCCACATGGTTATTGTTAGTATTGGTAGCCCCATTGGACTCAGGTTGGCTAGGCACATTGCCACCAAACCCAAACCTGCCATTGGAATTTGCATAACCACCACGATCGCCACCATTTCCGCCATATCCGAACGCAAAGCCACCACTATTACCACCACCACCTTGG